TAATGATAAAAAAATAGAAATATAAAAAAAAATTAAATATTTTCACAAATTTCATTACACAAGAATCAAAGACATTTTATTCTCTAAGTATAATTAACTTTAATATTTAATATAATTTACAAGATTCTGCAGTACTACCAATCTGAAAATATCACAATGTAGAACATAACCTATATTTTTACAGTTTTTCTATTCCGGTTCATTTTGAGTAACGTGAAGTTGTCTGCAAACCCATTTTTTATGCAGATCTCATAATAAGGTACAGCAAAAATGAGTTCAGTTTATTATTGTCATGTTATAAATTAATTACATAAAGTTAAATTAAACATTTTTTTGATTGTAAAATCAAAAAAAATTGACCCATTATGAAAAAATTGTAAAAAGTAATTCTTATTTTAGCACGTACGGCGAGTTCAAACTTTTCATATATATATATATATATATATATATATATATATATATATATAATGAAGGACAATGAAAAAGAATGAAATGGAAAGGGAAGGAGGAACAGGTCGGAAGTGCGCTCTGATTCTCGAGTCCCGTACATTGCAAAAAAAAAATATAAAATACGCGGGGCTTATCGTTCGTTGCGAAAAAAATAATAGTGACCTGTTGACAGACGAGTAATTCTAGTAATCGACAATATATATATGTTGTCTCGTGACCATTTATGACTACTCCCATACATTAGAACGGATCATCTCGTGTTAAATGCACGAGCTGCAATATCTCATAATAATAATTACTTAACTTCCCCGTGTACTCATTTTTAAACAAATGCATTTTTTCTTTCCTTTATTCGTGAGACGATCATTTTTTCTTTTATTTAGTATAATTTTTAATCATACTCCCTCACTCTACGCGCATTGAGAAATTCTTTGTCAAATTAAAAAGCATATCACATTATAATTTAATAAATAGTCAAATATGTCATTTCTTTGCTTCATTCGGAAATTATGATTTAGAAAAATAATTGCGATTTTCCAAGAATATATAATACACTGAAAAAAAAGATTTTGTGTTAGCAATAAAATAGTTTGATTAGGCAATTTTGGTTCTTGTAACCAAATTTTGGTTGGCTGAAACAAAGTCGTAGAGATATTTCAATCAAACATTTGATTAGGCCTACAAAATTATTTGGTTATAGTATATAAACGGTTTTAAAATTTTTTTCCACCGCCATATTGGACCCGCCATTTGGAATTTTGATAAACCGACCTCAGATGAAATTTCTTCTGTGTGTGAAAAGGTTAATAAATATTTTTTAGTATATTTTTAATTTTAGTCAAAAAAAAAAAAATATTTTGTAATTAATTTTTTTTTAAATATCTTTAAATTAAATCTTAAAATTTATTTTCATTTTATTCTAAATATATACAGGGTGTTCCAAAAGTATGGAAACTTGTAAATATCTCGAAAAGTATGAATTTTCGTAAAAAATGTTCAAGACAAAAGTTGTTCCACACAAAAAGATGTACATCTTTGAAACCAAAAAATTGGGCCCGGAGCCCAATGTTGGGTCCTACAATGAAAAAAGTGATTTTCTTAAATGAGACAACTAATTTTCAGTATCAAATTCGTAATCCCCATGAAATTCTGCGTTCAGACATGTGGTATAAGTGCCCAAAATATTGAGCCCAATTCAAGATGTTGGGTCCAAAATTTATCTACATATAAATAAATTTTAAAAAATCGCATTTTGGAGGGATTTTGAGATCACAGGATTAGAAATTGGAAGCTAATTTTCCAATTGGGCATAGAGACCAATGTAAGATTCTGCGGCCCAATATGAGGCCCACAGTAAAAAAAATTAGTTGTCTTAAATAAAACCCACTAATTTTCAGTATCCAATTCGTAACACAGAAAATTAAAAGGCATTAAAATAAGCTGCAACGCTTATTATTTTAATCCAATTTTGCTTATTTTAATACCAAAATGGATTAAAATAAGCAAAATTGGATTAAAATAATAAGCGTTGCAGCTTATTTTAATGCCTTTTAATTTTCTGTGAATCCCCATGAATTTCTGGGTTTAGACTTGTAGTAAAAATGACAAAAAATATTGGACCCAATGTCTGGGACTAGGCCCAACATTTTTCGTTAAATAAATAAATTTAAAAAATCGCATCTTTAGGGGTTTTTGGGGTCACAGGATTACTGCCCTACAACGGAAAAAGATACATAAGTGACATTTTGGTCAAAAATGAGTTTTTGGTATCAATGGATTCGTAATAAAAAGCTGCATCTGACTATCGTAATTAAAATTGAAAATTTTAATTATTTATAATAAAAAATTAAGATTGAAAATATTGCAATTTGCGAAAAATGAGAAAATACAACGGAAAAAGACACATGAGGTACTTTGCGTTGCCTAAATTCTGTAGGAGGCATGAAATACGTCACAAAATACAATGGAAGAATATACACGAGGTAGCCTATATGTATCTTTTTCCGTTGCAAAAGCGGCCGAGCTCGGCTTCGTTTACAGAACGATATTCGCAAGCGCGCTTGTGTATTTCTTAGCTTGTAAAATAATCGAGCGGAGCAAAGATGTCCAGTGGAGACCATACACAAGTGCCATACTCTAATCCCATACTCTCTTGTCCCTTATGTATATTCTTCGCTGGACATCTTTGATCCGCTCGATGACTTTACAACGAAAAACACCACAAGCGACTTTGTGTTCTTTTTACGTTGCATTTGCACTAAAAAAACTACGCAAGTGCATTTTTTAAAAGGGATTGTTTAAATAATTAATTTTTTTTGCAAAAATAGAAAGAGCACATCCGATTTACCCCATTAGGGATATTTTTATTCATAAAAAATGAATTCTAAATAAAGTTTTTGATGCAAATGGTTTTTCTCAAATATCTCCGTTCGACCTATTTGTGGCTTATGTATCTTTTTCCGTTGTAGGGCAGATTAGAAATTCGAAGCTAATTTTCAAATTGAACACAAAGCCCAATGTAAGATTCCGCGGCCCAATGTGAGGCCCACATGAAAAAAAATTAGTTGTTTAAATAAAACCCACTTATTTTCAGTATCCATTTCAGAATCGTTATGAAATTCTGGATTTAGACTTGTAGTACAAAAGCCAAAAATATTGGGCCCAATGTCTGGGATTGGGCTCAACATTTTTCAACAAATAAATAAGTTTATAAAATATCGCATTTTTGGAGTTTTTGGGGTCACAGGATTAGAAATTCAAATACTTTTCAAATTGGGCACAGAGCCCAATGTAAGATTCCGCAGCCCAATGTGAGACCTACAGTAAAAAAATTAGTTTCATTCCATTTTGAAATCGTTATGAAATGTACATCTTTTTGTGTGGAACAACTTTTGTCTTGAACATTTTTTACGAAAATTCGTACTTTTCGAGATATTTGCAAGTTTTCATACTTTTGAAACACCCTGTATAATTAAAAATCTATACAATGCATATATATATATATACTATATATACTACCCCCTATTTTTTATTGGTTTTGTAGATGTTTGAGTTAATGTTTAGACAATTTCTGGAATTTATAACTATTATTAATATTTTATTATTTATTTCTTTAAATGTCATTTACGATTTTTATTAACAATAATTTTTATTATTTTCAATTTTTAAAACAAAATTTATCTAATTTTTTAAATTTTCCAGCTAAAATTTGACCTACATTTAAGGTTATGTTCGTTTTTTGGTCATTTTCTTTCAAAGTTTGACCTAAATTTTAAGGTTATGTTTGTTCCTTTGTCTTTTTGCGCCAAATTTTGAGGTTATGTTTGTTTCTTAACCGTTTCCCGACAAAATAACTTAACCTTAAAATTTAGTTCAATTTCGGCGAAAAATCCACCTCTCCTTCAACGTAAGGAAGGAGGGGGGCCTTGCGACTATATTCACAGTCTTGAAACGCACATAACCTTTAAATTCAGGCCATTTTTGGCAGGAAATCTACCTCCACTTGCGGCTACACGAAGTAATAATAAGGAGCTGGAACTCGTGGGCAAAATGCGTGCCGATTCCCTTGGTAAAGTACTTGGAAGCTAGAATAAGCGATAGTGGCGATCCTTGCAGGTAATTGTGGAATCACAGATGATCACGTGATCAATAGTGAAATGTGTTTATCGCCATTTTGTTTGTTTTTGGTGTTTGCCGGTGAGACGACTGCTTTTCCCCGAAAGGACAAAATGTCGAATGGACAAAACGTCGAATAGCAAAACGTCGAATGGTCATAAAATATCGAAAAGCCAAACTGTCGAATGGACAAAATGTCGAAAAGTCAAGACGTCGCATAGTCAAAACGTCGAATAGTCAAAACGTCGAAAGGTCAAAATGTCGAAAAGCCAAGACGTCGAACAGACAAAATGTCGAATAGCCAAAACTTCGAACAGACAAAATATAGAATTGCCAAAATGTCGAATTATCAAAATGTCGAATAGTCAAGAAGTCGAATGATTGAAACGTCGAATAGCCAAGACGTCGAACGGACAAAATGTCGAAAAGCCAAAACGTCGAACGGACAAAATGTCAAATAGCCAAAACATCGAACGGACAAAATATCGAATCGCTAAGACGTCGAACGGACAAAATGTCGAATAGCCAAAATGTTGAAAAGCCAAGACGTCGAAAAGTCAAAACTGCGAATGGACTAAATGTCGAAAAGTCAAGACGTCAAATGGTCAAAATGTCGAATGGACAAAATATCGAGACGTTATTTTGCTCTGAGTTTCCCTTCTATCTAATGCACTAGTTTGTGTTGCGTTTAACACTCGATAGATATCGCTAGTTGTATTGTTTTTAATGTTTTTTTTTACATTTTTTTATAATAATAATAATAAAAAATAATAATAATAATAGTAGTAAAGTAATTATTATAGTATAATAATAATAATAATACAAACTTTTAATTTTAAACAGTTTTTAAAAGAATAATTCTTGTGAAGCATTTCCTTTCAGTAAGTATATTCGTTAATTAATAAATAAAAGAATTTTAACGAATAGTACTTAGCAACTAGAATAAACGACAGTGGCGTTCCTTGCGGGTACTTGAAGAAGTTTAATGTTTCCAAGTTTGTTTGTCGTCTGCTTCACTGACAGCACGAAGGCTGACAAAATATAATTTAAACCGAAACATATAAAAGTGTGTTTTAAATATTTATTTTTAAGAAAGTTGTAAAAGTTTTATATATAATGAGTGTAGAAGAAGGGAAGAAATTCGTAGACGTAAGTATTTAATGTGATTACGTTTTGAATTAAAGTAAACAAAGTTGTAATTAATGTTTTCTGCAATGTTTGTTGATAGTTTTTCATTCAAGTTGTTATTGCATTAGTGAAAATTTATTCTTTTAGTTTTCAGTGTTATAAATTTTAATAAAATGAAAAAAGTGAAAATAAGTAAATGATGCCTGCAAATAATTTTTTTTTTCGTTTGTAGGTTAAGGTGCAGTGCTGTTTGGAAGAAAACCAAACTTTCGAGTTATTACAAGATAATTTGATGTCAGTACATCTTCCGTCAAAAAGCTGGGGTTATACAAGAGGAAATAAATTTTTTCTTGGTTTTGAGAAGGCTGAGAAAGAAGCATTGATTCGAAAAAGAATTGTGGTATTTCCCACTTTAAAAGTTAAAATTTTTTTGGATGACAAAGAAATGGTATTTTCACAGTTTATAAAATTAACGAGTATAGACGAATTAAATAGACTTTTGAAATGTATAGAAAACATTGAATTATAAATTAATAATTGAAACGAATTGTATATAATAATTACAATGTAGTGGTAAGAACATTAATGTACTAAGAATTTTCGACATTTATATTATTGTATATATGTTGAAAGAATGTGATTTTTACAAAAGAAATAAATTGTATATTATTTTTTAAGAATGTAGTTTATTTTAAATATTTTTTCATGACATTTAGGAAATTGCACTCTTTTAACAACAAGTAATTTAAATTTTAACAATTCTGACGGGAAGTATATCTAAACATGTTTACAGCACGCGTGAATCTTCAACTTGTAATTCGTTAAAATTCTTTTATTTATTAATTAACGAATATACTTACTGAAAGGAAATGCTTCACAAGAATTATTCTTCTAAAACACATTCACATTTCAAGAAACTATAGCATTAAAAAACAAAAATAATAAAATTTAGAAACTCAGCAAGACCGGCAAACACCAAAAACAAACAAAATGGCGATAAACACATTTCACTATTGATCACGTGATCATCCGTGATTCCACAATTACCCGCAAGGATCGCCACTATCGCTTATTCTAGCTTCTAAGTACTTTACCAAGGAAATCGGCACGCATTTTGCCCACGAGTTCCAGCTCCTTATTATTACTTCGTGGCGGCTATATTGAAAGTCTTGAAATGAACATAACCTCATAATTTATGTCATTTTTGGTGTGAAATACGGAGAGAGATGAGAGAGGGGAAACGACTTGCTGCTCTATTCAGAGTCTTGAAACAAACATAAACTTTCGACCCTATTCAGTTTTGAAACGATCAGAACCTCAAAATTTATGTCATTTTTGTCGGGAGACGGGGGACTTGCGGCTATATTGAAAGTCTTGAAATGAACATAACATCAAAATTTATGTCATTTTTGGTGGGAAATACGGAGAGAGGGTACACTGTAAACTTGATGGTATCATTTTGGACTGCAACATTTTGATTCGATATAAGGTATCAAATTGATCCAAATATTTGGATCATTTTCAAGAAATGATCCAGAATATGGGATCATTTTTTGATACCTGAATTGGTATCAAAGTATAACTGTCATGACTGGCATGCTCTTATTGACAAATTTATTAATTAATTTATTCACTGCACTGAATATTAAGATATTAAAAATACTTTTATTATGAATTTTAAGAAAGAGAGAAGCGAAAACTTATTAATTGCGAGCAATTAAATATGAAAAAATTTATTTCGAAATAAAATGAAATACACTAACCTTTATTTATGTTTATCACATAAGATTTAAGTTAAGTTCACAATCACAACAGTTGAAAATTTTTAATTATTTTTGTGGTTCAAATAATTATCGATAATTTATTTTTTATAATATCTTTTTAATCTTTTTAATATCTTAATATTCAGTGCAGTGAATTAATTAATTAATAAATTTGTCAATAAGAGCATGCCAGCCATGACAGTTATACTTTGATACCAATTCAGGTATCAAAAAATGATCCCATATTCTGGATCATTTCTTGAAAATGATCCAAATATTTGGATCAATTTGATACCTTATATTGATTCAAAACGTTGCATGAGTTGATCTTAATTCTTGTATCAATTTGATACACACAAGAAAACTGTGTAAGGGAGGGGGGAGGACTTGCGGCCCTATTCAGAGTCTTGAAACGAACATAACCTTAAAATTTATAGGTCATTTTTTGCCAGGGATGGGGAGGAGAGGGGGGGTGACTTGCAGCTATATTCATATGGGTCATTCCATATCAAGTGTAACCAACTATTGTACTATCCATGTCAAAAACATGGGTTGAGTACACTTGACATAGAATGACCTATCCTTGTCAAAATTTCTGAAACAGCGGCGGCGGCGAAATCTTTTTAAAATATAGAAAGATATTTAAATTCGATTGAAGATGAAATGAAAGCAGGAAGCACGTCGCTGATTTTAGTTATGTTGAAGGAAATATGAAATGGAAGGTGAATTCTGAGATGGATCAGAAATTGACATGCATCCAGCATTCGTTAAATGCCGGTGGATAAAAGAAATAATACACTCTTGAGACAATAGCTGTCGCCCACGAACCCTTGCACATCCGGTGCGTTTTCACAGAATCTTTTTAATACCGTGTAACACATATTAATCGAAAATTCTACTTTCTACGAATATACTATATAAAAATTATACATTCGAAATAAATTTTGAAACTATAAATCTATTTCGTCTAAATATTCTTTAATAAAAAAAAGGTTCCATTAAAATTTTCCATATAGAAGTAAAGAACAAAAAAGACAATTTTATTTTTAATATCGAAATTCGAATTAAAAATTTCAGGTATTGTATTTGAAAAAAATTTCTTTCTTTTTTTGCTTTATTTTTGAAGTATTTATATATATATACTTATATATATATATATATTCCACGGGAGATTTTCATTGAAAATTTTTTTTTTCCCGAAACATTTTTTTCGAAATCTATATGAAAAAAAGGATATACGTATTTTTTTAAATTTTTCAAATATCTGCTCAAAAATAACGTACCTATAAGAGAAGTAACAAAAAAGTTGAAATTAAACTCAAAAAGTGCGTTTTCTCAAAAGAGACACTTTCGATTTTTAATTTTTTGTTTGCATTACAATCTCTCATGACTGAAGAATTTCTTCCCCTATCAGCGAAAGTGGTACTTTTTGTTTTTAAGTTACTATTTACAATTTTCTTAGTACGGCTCTCCGAATTTAAGCAGTTATTTTACAAATATAACCTTTTTCCATTATTATTCATTTGTTTTTTTTAATTTTCATAAAAACATACTAAAAATCGTTGCGTCAAGCTTAAAAATTATAGGGGTAAACGGTACAGTGATTGCCAGTATAAGCAAAAAGGGGATATATTTATACAAATTACAAATGTTTAATTATCGAAATGAGAAATGAAACCATTTGTAAAGGAATTAAAATATTCCATTAATCTGAAAATAATAATGAATTGTTTATTTAATATTACTATAAATTTAAAAAAAATAAAAAAATCTTCACATGACAGAAAAAATAGTGATTGTCATTATTTTTACAGTGATTGACCATCAATTTGACAATGATTGCCCACTAGACATAAAATAGTAATGTAAATTATAAATTTTGCATAATTTATTAAAGAATGAATATAATTTGAAATTAATAAAGAAGAAGTAATTTTTAAAATAATTTTCTTTTATTGACAATAATAAGATTCATTAAATATGACTTTTAAGTGTAAATAATACTATTAACCTAAAAAATTGGGAAAATTGTCGAATCTGACTCAATTGTAAAAATAAAAATTATTTTTGGCTATTTTGATTTGATATAATGATTACACGATTTTGAAGTTTTTCATTGCTTAAAGAAGCATATACGAAACACCTTGTTTTACCTTCGGCATTTTTTCGATAGCCTAAAATCATACTTCATATTGAAAAATTGTTAATAAAATATTACAAATCATTCTAATACATGCTGCGGCTCTAATTACATCTTTATTTTAAAAAATTAATTCACCAAATATGAAAAAACGTCCAAAAATTAAAAATATTTATCTCAAAAAAGTCTTGAAAATAAATGGTTAATCACTGAAAAATGACATAATAACCAAAAAGTAAGCATTGTCCGGGGAGGGCAATGACTGTTATTTGTTATTAATTGCAAGATAGTAGTTGTTCTCTATAATTTTCGGTAAATCGAGTCAAATTACGTTAAAACAAATTTTTTTACTTATTATTAAACTTATTTTCATGCATATAATTAAAAAATAATAATGATATGTATAATTTTTTCGTTAAGAAGTCAAAGAAAGTATCACCACTAACCTTGCAAATTTACAACTAAATTGACAAAATTTCAATTTCTTCAGTCACCAGAGATTGTAATGCAAACAAAAAATTAAAAATCGACAGTATCTCTATTGAGAAAACTCACTTTTTAAGGTTAATTTCAACTTTTTTGTTGCAAATGAACAAATTTCATATATAGCATAATTTTTAATTTATTAGTACAATAGATTAAAAAACGTCCCAAAAACGCACTTCCATCGTTGACGATAAATTTCAAAAAATCATAACTTCCTTCATTTTTATCAAATAAAAAAATAAAAAAATACGTAGGGTCAGTCGGGGTAAATCCGAACGGGGGGTAAATCCGAACGCTAATTATTTCAGCTTAATTAAAATTTTTAAAAATAAGTTCGATATGAGAATTTTTACCTCAGATCCTCTTGAAGAGATTCTAAGTATTATCCCATTTTTCGTTTGTTAATTAGCAACAGCATAAACAAAGATAACAAGTATTGCAAAAAAGATTGAAAATCAAAGATGACACTCTTTCAGTATTTTGTCTCGTATTTGAAGAAAAAGAAGCTAAAAATTCATTTTATTATTTATAATTGTTTGTTATGAATACTAGAACAGAAACTATATTTGATTTTTGCCTTCTGTAAAATTTTATTAATAATATCAGACCGTTCGTATTTACCCAAGAAAATTGGAAAACTGGGGTAAATCCGAACGGTATTTTTAATAATTTTTTTTTACATCAAAGCCACACAAAATTGTTTTTATTTGATTACACTATTATTTTAACATTATAAAAGTACATAGAAAAAAGTTTTTCTTTCTATACGTATCCTCGTTAGTAATTAATAAGCAGAAACTTAATCTCTGTTCTCTCGAAGGAGTGTTTCAATTTTTTTGCCAAATGGTTTGTTGAAAAAATTTTTTCAGGATCTTAATAAAATTTGGTATTCTACGGTTTTTGGGGTCGCTAATTACCAATTTGAAGTCAGTTTTTCAAAATTCAAAATGGCGGACGAGAATTAAAAAATTCATTGGATTCGCTCGAAAATTGTTACTCGGGGGGTTTCAGGGTTAGCAAATTTGATCATTTTTAAAAATAAGTTTTAGGAAAGTACGCCATTTTGAATTTAAAAAATTTGACTTTTATTTTTGTATTTACATTCAATCACTCCAAAATACTTTCTGTACCAAGTTTTGCAAAAATCCGTTATGATTTGATAAAGTTATTGAAGGTTTTAATTGTGTAATGCATTTTAATTTTTAACCTGTTTGATTTTTGTATTTATATATGATGCATTATTACATAATAGGTTTATTATCGTATTTTTTTTGAGTTTTTATATATGTTTAACAATTGCAATACTTTAAATTTATTTTCTCTAAGATTTTTCTGAAATACAGTGGCGTTCGTATTTACCCCCATATTTTAGGAAAGTTGCAAAGTATCGAGGTAAATACGAACGCTAAGTTTCCTGCGATTGTAATTTATCAAAAATTTTTTCTACCCCATAAAATTGTTCTATGGAAGTAAAGTAACAACTTCATGCACCAGAATACCGGAAGTATTTTTTTTTTAAAGAAAAAACTTATGTTATTGTTGAAACTTACTAAAAGCGTTCGGATTTACCCCAGTTGACCCTATATCTTTATTTTTCATATATATATATATATATATATATATATATATATATATATATATATATAATATCTCATATATTGAAATTATGATTTAAAACAAAGAGTCGTTTATATTAAAAGTTTTTCAACATTTTTTTTTTAAAATTATTTTTAATATATTTTTTACATTTAATTTTATATATATTCTAAGATTCAAAATTCATCTTTTATAGTACAACCAAATATTTGAAGTAATTTTTTTTTAAAATAAGTTTTTTTTTATATTCACCAAATTGAAAGTTGTTCTGGATATGAAAGAGCGATTAAAAAAAAAGTGGGCAATAATATTTTTCTCAAATATTAATACTTTTCAAAATAATAGACAATATTTTAACTGAAACAAATTTGCAACCTTAAAAATTTTTCAGTTACAATTTTGAAAAATCAAAAGTTGTGTTAAATAATTTTACCAAATAACACTTTTCAAAAATTTAATTAAACTTTGATTACTTAAAAAGTGTTTCAGTAGAATACAAGTTATTTTGTATTTTTTTCAACAGTTGAAAATTAAAAACATAACGTTTTTAATAAAGTTTATCATTTTGTTTAAAAATTTTTCAAATTATGTCTGAAGTTCATTTTTTCAAATAAAATTTATTTATTATATACATTTGTTAATGTAAATTTTGTTGTACATTTCAAAAATTTAATTTTTGGCTAATACTGCAGCTATCATTCTGAGTTCCAATTCCAAATGCGCAAGTCTCTGTTCATGATTACACTTTCTAATTGATGAACAATCTAACAACCCATAAAATATCCTTCAAAAAAAGAGAGAAAATATTTTATAAAAATTAAAACATTTTTTACAAAAACTTATTTTTTGCATTAAAACGAATCGATTAACCTATATTAAGTTCATATTCTACTGAAATGTATAGAATTTGCGAATTAGAATTTTTTTGAATTTTTGAAATTTTAATTAATTCTAGTCAAAATTGTATTTTTGGCATAAAAACAAATCGATTGATGTATTTAAAGTTTACATTTTACCAATATTTATAAACTTGATTGCTATTTTTATTTTTAACAAAAAATTGAAATTTTGAATCTTTTTAACACTAATAATATAAGTGTTGTTTATCATGATGAGAAAGCTAAATGGTTATGAAATGAACAACTTGTTTTTTTATTATTATAGTATAGTATAATAGTATCAGTAGAAAATAATTTATTATAAACCCCCATCAAAAAATGAAAATTTTTCTGGTTTATGAGAAAAAAAGTGAATTTTTTTTTTAAAAACTTACTCTCGTTCTTTCGGAGAATATTTCAATCCTATATATGTAGATACTCTTATATTTTTTAAAGTATCAGGTGTAACATTTGCTGATTTAAATAAATTTTCTTCACACCTTTCTTCGAAATCATTATCCATACAATTGCTAAGACTATTTTCGTAGAAATCTACAAAAAAATGAGAGAATTTCATATATTAATAATTACATAATGATAAATAAATTATTTATAAATATTAATAAATAAAACTTACTAAGTCGAGTTACAGTACATAATTTGTTTAAAATTTGACGAATTAAAACTTTAATATCGTCATCTGTTAGGGAAATATCATCCTTAAGACAATTTTGAATAACTTTTAATCCACTTTGAATTATATTCGTGAGATTTAAATCTCCCATACAATTGTCGTCAGTCTTATTTAAAGCATCCTCAATTGATAATTCATGTTTTCCCAAATTAAAATTATATACGTCCTTATAAATTTCGTTTACTTCATTAAAATCTACGGCATTATTTTTACATTTTTCTTTTATATCATTTATTGTTAAATTATAATAACTATCTAATTGAGCCTCTGTATTTGATATACAACCTGTAAAAATTTAATTTCCATAATTTACAAGAAATTAAATAAAAGTTCTTTTTTTTGAATTTTATAGTAATAAATAAAAATATAATAAATTATAAAAATTTTATAGAAAATTTCATAATATGTACATTAATTATAATTATTATTTGTAAATATTTTATTTTATTTTTTTTGAATACAAGCCACGGATTCTACGACTTTTTCTGACTTTTTATTTAAAAATACGACTTTTTTTCGACTTATTTTAATAAAATGCGACTTTTTTTACATTTTTTTTTAATTTTTAAACAAAATACGTTTTTTTTAGTATACAATGCAGATCTTCTTCAAATCTTTTTTAATTCAATTATTTAAAAAAATTTTAACTCAAATTATTTACTAAATTAATTATTTTTAATAATTTTAATGAAATTCTTCACAAATTCAATTATCTCAAACTATTTCTTAATTATAATTCTTATAAAATTTAATTATTGTTTGTAATTTTTAAAAAAATTAGCAAATAAAATTACTAAAAATGTTTAATTCAAAATCTTTGTAAATTTAATTATTTTCAAAAAGTTGAATTATTTTTAATGATTTTTATAATATTCTTCGAAAAATCAATTATCTGAAAGCATTTTTCAATTAAAAACTTTTGGAATTAAATATTTGTAATGTGATTTCTAATAAAATCTTTAGCAACAGAAATCACTAAAAATTTCTCTTATTATAATTATTGTCTGAAATTTAACACAATCTTTTAAAATTCAATTCTTTTTAAAAATTTAAATTGAAAAGCTTCTAAAATTTTCCATTTAAAATTTTTTGAAATTTAATAATTTCAATTATAACTCTCCTGAAATTCAATTATTTTTAATGATTTTTAAAATATTCTTCGAAAATTCAGCTATCTGAAACCATTTTTCACTTAAAAAGTTTTCAAATTATTGTATTTTCGTTTGCAATTTCTAAAATTTTTTTTAGTGAAATAATAAAAAAATTTTAATTAAAAATCACTTCAAGTTCAAATAATTTCAAAAATCAAAATTGTAAATCTTTGAAAATTCAATTACTTTTAAAAAATTATATCTAAAATTATTTGATAAATTATTTTTAGCTCTGTTAAATTTAATTATTGTCTGAAATTTAAAAAAATCTTTTGAAATTCAATTATATCTAAAAAATTCAAACTATAACTCTTCCAAAATTATTATTATTTAAAAAAAAATTATTTGAAAATAAAAAAGAAATATTCGAAATAAATTATCTTGATAATATTCTTATAGAATTATTCTCATTACAAAATTAATAAAATATTTAATAATTAAAATATTTATTAACCAGTTAAATTTTGTTAGAATAAAAAAAATCGACTTTTTTTGTGCTTTAATGTCGATCCGAGGCCAGAAAATAGATTTTAGTAGGCGAAAAAAATTATGCTTTCCATTGAAAATGTTTTTTTTACTTATAATAATAATAATAATAATAATAATAATAATAATAATAATATAGAAAAAAATAATAATAAATTAACTTACTCAGAAGCCCAGCAGCAAAAGTTGCGATTATAAAAATCATGTTCAACATAATTGTAGATACTTTGCAGTTCAACTATAACAAAATTAATATTTAGATTTCTTTTTATAATCGAACTATCCCTATTTTTTATTCTTTCTGAGCCAATATATGACGTGTAGATGCAATTATTTATTTTAACTAAATAAACATTACGCATTTATAATATATTGTGAAATATCATATTTCAACAAATGACGTAAAGATATTTATAAATATAATTGTTAAAATTTTCTTTTTCATGACAATGATTAAATTTACATTTATATTTTTATTTCTGTGGAATTTGAAAACTTAATCAGCCTTGAAAAAAAAATTTATGAAAAATTTAATAGTTATGCAAATAGGGAAATCGAGACTCATGTGAGTTTAACCTTGAGTTTAACACACGAACAAAGCGAGTGCGTCAAACTCATACGAGTCTCGATTTCTCCTATTTGCGCCCATGCGCACGTTTCTTAATGTTACATTTTTTTTTAATTCAGATATTTATTTTCAATATCTGCGTATAAACTGTAAAAATTTAGTTTTTAGTTTTATGTAAATTTAACGTTTTCAAAGTTAGTTCCTTATGCGTCATTTTTTATTCTTCAGAAAAACAAATGTTCAACTTGAACAAATCTTTCCATACCTTGAAAGAAGAAAATATTTTAAATTATACAAATTTTTTTAATTTATATAAAAATAAGATTTCCTCGTTGTTTAAAAGTTGCAAAATTTTTTATATGTACATAGAGAATTTTTTTTAGTTGCGTTTATTTGTGAAACAAATAAAATTTATTACAATCAAAAAAATAATTTTAATTGATTTAATTGATTTTAATAAACAGCTGATTTGCGCTAAATAAACATTTATTGAATTTAAAAAAAAAATTACATTTTTATATAATTCAATTGTTACTCGGGGGTTTTTGGTGTCGCTGATTACGAATCTAAAATCAGGTTTTAAAAATTCAAAATGGCGGATCCAAAATGGTGGACGATTTCTTGCTGGTAATAGGCAGAGTGGAACATTGCAAGTTTTACAAATCCAGGACGTTCGCTTTTGGTCAGCTTTTGTACTACAATGAGCACATATTAGATCCACATTTTGAATTTTGAAAAACTAACATTGGATTTGTAATCAGCGACCCGAAAACCCCCGAGTAACAAGTTTTAAGCAAATTTCGAGGATTTTTAAAATTTTCAGTCGCCATATTGTAACCGCCATTTTGAATTTTCAGAAACTGACTTCAGATTCATAATCAAAGACCCCAAAAACCCCCGAGTAACAAGTTTTAAACGAATTGCATTAGATTTTCCAGAAGTCGTCCGCCATTTTGGATCCGCTATTTTGAATTTTTAAAAACTGATTTTGATTCGTAATCAGCGACACCAAAAACCCCCGAGTAACAATTGAATTATATAAAAATGTAATTTTTTTTTTAAATTCAATAAATGTTTATTTAGCGCAAATCAGCTGTTTATTAAAATCAATTAAAATTATTTTTTTGATTGTAATAAATTTTATTTGTTTCACAAATAAACGCAACTAAAAAAAATTCTCTATGTACATATAAAAAATTTTGCAACTTTTAAACAACGAGGAAATCTTATTTTTATATAAATTAAAAAAATTTGTATAATTTAAAATATTTTCTTCTTTCAAGGTATGGAAAGATTTGTTCAAGTTGAACATTTGTTTTTCTGAAGAATAAAAAATGACGCATAAGGAACTAACTTTGAAAACGTTAAATTTACATAAAACTAAAAACTAAATTTTTACAGTTTATACGCAGATATTGAAAATAAATATCTGAATTAAAAAAAAATGTAACATTAAGAAACGTGCGCATGGGCGCAAATAGGAGAAATCGAGACTCGTATGAGTTTGACGCACTCGCTTTGTTCGTGTGTTAAACTCAAGGTTAAACTCACATGAGTCTCGATTTCCCTATTTGCATAACTATTAAATTTTTCATAAATTTTTTTTTCAAGGCTGATTAAGTTTTCAAATTCCACAGAAATAAAAATATAAATGTAAATTTAATCATTGTCATGAAAAAGAAAATTTTAACAATTATATTTATAAATATCTTTACGTCATTTGTTGAAATATGATATTTCACAATATATTATAAATGCGTAATGTTTATTTAGTTAAAATAAATAATTGCATCTACACGTCATATATTGGCTCAGAAAGAATAAAAAATAGGGATAGTTCGATTATAAAAAGAAATCTAAATATTAATTTTGTTATAGTTGAACTGCAAAGTATCTACAATTATGTTGAACATGATTTTTATAATCGCAACTTTTGCTGCTGGGCTTCTGAGTAAGTTAATTTATTATTATTTTTTTCTATATTATTATTATTATTATTATTATTATTATTATTATTATTATAAGTAAAAAAAACATTTTCAATGGAAAGCATAATTTTTTTCGCCTACTAAAATCTATTTTCTGGCCTCGGATCGACATTAAAGCACAAAAAAAGTCGATTTTTTTTATTCTAACAAAATTTAACTGGTTAATAAATATTTTAATTATTAAATATTTTATTAATTTTGTAATGAGAATAATTCTATAAGAATATTATCAAGATAATTTATTTCGAATATTTCTTTTTTATTTTCAAATAATTTTTTTTTAAATAATAATAATTTTGGAAGAGTTATAGTTTGAATTTTTTAGATATAATTGAATTTCAAAAGATTTTTTTAAATTTCAGACAATAATTAAATTTAACAGAGCTAAAAATAATTTATCAAATAATTTTAGATATAATTTTTTAAAAGTAATTGAATTTTCAAAGATTTACAATTTTGATTTTTGAAATTATTTGAACTTGAAGTGATTTTTAATTAAAATTTTTTTATTATTTCACTAAAAAAAATTTTAGAAATTGCAAACGAAAATACAATAATTTGAAAACTTTTTAAGTGAAAAATGGTTTCAGATAGCTGAATTTTCGAAGAATATTTTAAAAATCATTAAAAATAATTGAATTTCAGGAGAGTTATAATTGAAATTATTAAATTTCAAAAAATTTTAAATGGAAAATTTTAGAAGCTTTTCAATTTAAATTTTTAAAAAGAATTGAATTTTAAAAGATTGTGTTAAATTTCAGACAATAATTATAATAAGAGAAATTTTTAGTGATTTCTGTTGCTAAAGATTTTATTAGAAATCACATTACAAATATTTAATTCCAAAAGTTTTTAATTGAAAAATGCTTTCAGATAATTGATTTTTCGAAGAATATTATAAAAATCATTAAAAATAATTCAACTTTTTGAAAATAATTAAATTTACAAAGATTTTGAATTAAACATTTTTAGTAATTTTATTTGCTAATTTTTTTAAAAATTACAAACAATAATTAAATTTTATAAGAATTATAATTAAGAAATAGTTTGAGATAATTGAATTTGTGAAGAATTTCATTAAAATTATTAAAAATAATTAATTTAGTAAATAATTTGAGTTAAAATTTTTTTAAATAATTGAATTAAAAAAGATTTGAAGAAGATCTGCATTGTATACTAAAAAAAACGTATTTTGTTTAAAAATTAAAAAAAAATGTAAAAAAAGTCGCATTTTATTAAAATAAGTCGAAAAAAAGTCGTATTTTTAAATAAAAAGTCAGAAAAAGTCGTAGAATCCGTGGCTTGTATTCAAAAAAAATAAAATAAAATATTTACAAATAATAATTATAATTAATGTACATATTATGAAATTTTCTATAAAATTTTTATAATTTATTATATTTTTATTTATTACTATAAAATTCAAAAAAAAGAACTTTTATTTAATTTCTTGTAAATTATGGAAATTAAATTTTTACAGGTTGTATATCAAATACAGAGGCTCAATTAGATAGTTATTATAATTTAACAATAAATGATATAAAAGAAAAATGTAAAAATAATGCCGTAGATTTTAATGAAGTAAACGAAATTTATAAGGACGTATATAATTTTAATTTGGGAAAACATGAATTATCAATTGAGGATGCTTTAAATAAGACTGACGACAATTGTATGGGAGATTTAAATCTCACGAATATAATTCAAAGTGGATTAAAAGTTATTCAAAATTGTCTTAAGGATGATATTTCCCTAACAGATGACGATATTAAAGTTTTAATTCGTCAAATTTTAAACAAATTATGTACTGTAACTCGACTTAGTAAGTTTTATTTATTAATATTTATAAATAATTTATTTATCATTATGTAATTATTAATATATGAAATTCTCTCATTTTTTTGTAGATTTCTACGAAAATAGTCTTAGCAATTGTATGGATAATGATTTCGAAGAAAGGTGTGAAGAAAATTTATTTAAATCAGCAAATGTTACACCTGATACTTTAAAAAATATAAGAGTATCTACATATATAGGATTGAAATATTCTCCGAAAGAACGAGAGTAAGTTTTTAAAAAAAAAATTCACTTTTTTTCTCATAAACCAGAAAAATTTTCATTTTTTGATGGGGGTTTATAATAAATTATTTTCTACTGATACTATTATACTATACTATAATAATAAAAAAACAAGTTGTTCATTTCATAACCATTTAGCTTTCTCATCATGATAAACAACACTTATATTATTAGTGTTAAAAAGATTCAAAATTTCAATTTTTTGTTAAAAATAAAAATAGCAATCAAGTTTATAAATATTGGTAAAATGTAAACTTTAAATACATCAATCGATTTGTTTTTATGCCAAAAATACAATTTTGACTAGAATTAATTAAAATTTCAAAAATTCAAAAAAATTCTAATTCGCAAATTCTATACATTTCAGTAGAATATGAACTTAATATAGGTTAATCGATTCGTTTTAATGCAAAAAATAAGTTTTTGTAAAAAATGTTTTAATTTTTATAAAATATTTTCTCTCTTTTTTTGAAGGATATTTTATGGGTTGTTAGATTGTTCATCAATTAGAAAGTGTAATCATGAACAGAGACTTGCGCATTTGGAATTGGAACTCAGAATGATAGCTGCAGTATTAGCCAAAAATTAAATTTTTGAAATGTACAACAAAATTTACATTAACAAATGTATATAATAAATAAATTTTATTTGAAAAAATGAACTTCAGACATAATTTGAAAAATTTTTAAACAAAATGATAAACTTTATTAAAAACGTTATGTTTTTAATTTTCAACTGTTGAAAAAAATACAAAATAACTTGTATTCTACTGAAACACTTTTTAAGTAATCAAAGTTTAATTAAATTTTTGAAAAGTGTTATTTGGTAAAATTATTTAACACAACTTTTGATTTTTCAAAATTGTAACTGAAAAATTTTTAAGGTTGCAAATTTGTTTCAGTTAAAATATTGTCTATTATTTTGAAAAGTATTAATATTTGAGAAAAATATTATTGCCCACTTTTTTTTTAATCGCTCTTTCATATCCGGAACAATTAATCCTTGAGAACAAGAAGATTGCGAGGAATGTGCTGAAAAAAATTTTTTTTTAAATGCAATTATTGGATTTTTTTTATTGTATTATAATATTTGTAATTTATATTTGAATTTTAATATTTTATTAATTAAAATTAACAATTGTAAAAATAATTTTTACTACTTGTCGATGCAATTGGCAAGTTTAGACCCAATCTCATTTCGGGAAAGGAGAAAACTTTTTCTTTCATTTGCTCTCCTGTTTGGCATAAATTAAGAAGAAAAATCAATACGTTCAGTCAATTTTTCAAAAACTGTTAAAATTTTTAAATTATTTTTTAGAATATATAAATAAAAAATATATAACACACCCTGAGCAGGCCGTGGATCGAATTTAAGTCGCAAAAAAAGTTGTTTTATTGGATTTATATTCCAAAAAAAGTCGATTTTTTTATTTTAATTCAATTTAGTTAATAAGTATTTTACTTTAAATAACTAATGTTATTAGATATGAAATCAATTTTATTAATTCCTCAATTTTAATTAAGTGGAACAAATTTATAAAAAAAAAATTCTGAAAACAATTCAATTTTAGAGTTTTTATTTGAAACTTTTTTAAATAATTGAATTTTTAAAGAAATATTAAAATTATTAAAAATAATTAAACTTTAGAAGAGTTATAGTTTTGAAATTTTTAGAAATAATTAAAATTTAAACAAGTTTTGTTAAATTTTACAAAATTGAAAATAATTTATCAAATGATTTTAGATAACATTTTTTAAAAATAATTGAATCTTCAGAGATTTACAATTCACATTTTTTAAATTAATTCAACTTCAAATGATTTTTAATTGAAATTTTTGGTGATTTTTGTTGATAAAGAATTAATTAGAAATTGTAGACAAAAAATGAATTTAAAAATTTTTCAATTAAAAAATGCTTTCATACAATTGAATTTTCGAAGAATATTATAAAAATAATTTAAAATAATTATATTTCGGAAGAGTTATAGCTGAAATTATTGAATTTCAGAAAGTTTTAGATGGAAAATTTTAGAAGGTTTTAAATTCAAATTTTTACCTCTATAAAATTGGCATCGACGCTCAGCGTCGAAAATTATTTTTCACAGGACCAAAAATATCTAAACATTTTTAAAAAGTTTGTGTTTCCACATAATAAGTTGAAAAGTATTTCTCAAGGTTTTATTTGAACCGAAAATTAAAAAAAAAAAAATTTCACATTTTTGGTTCTGTGAAAAACAATTTTCGGCGCTGAGCGTCGACGCCAACTTCATGGGGGTAAATTTTTGGTATGTAATTTTATTTGTTAATTTTTTTTTAAATTGTAAACTTAATTAATTAAACTTAAAATTGAAAAATAGTTTAAGATAATTTAATTTGTGAAGAATTTCATTAAATTTATAAAGAATAATTTAGAAAAAAATTGTAGTTAAAAATTTATTAAATAACTAGCAATATTAAACGCGCGCAAGCGCGCCAAATTGAGTATTTAATTGTTTGTTATAAAGAAATTAAAGATTAATATTATCAATAATAATTTAAATTTATTGGAATATTATTTCATATTAAATGATAATAATGAAAATTATTATTATATGTTATTAAATTATATATAAAATTGAGTTATTTTCCAAATTTTCAATTTAAAATTGAATTATTTACCAAGTTTTCAAATTGAAATTAAATAAAATTTAATTATTATACAAAATTTCAAATTCAAAATCAAAGAAAATTCAATTTTTTCCCAAAATTTCAATTCAAAATTTTTTAAAATTCAATTATTTTCCAAATTTTCAATTTAAAATCAAATAAAATTCAATTATTACCCGAAATTTTAATTCAACATCAACTTAAATTAAATTATTATCAAAAATTTCAATTAAAATTCAATTATTTTCCAAAATTTCGAGTCAAAATTAATTATTATCAAAATTTTCAATCAACAATCAACTAAAATTAATTATTATCAAAATTTTCAATCAACTAAAATTAAATTATTTTCAAAATTTTCAATTTAAAATTCAATTATTTACCAAGTTTTCAATTTAAAATGAAATAAAATTCAATTATTTTTTAAAATTTTTATTCAAAATTAATTATCGAAATTTTCAATTAAAAATGAACTTAAATTAAATTATTATAGAAAATTTCAATTAAAATTCAATTATTACCCGAAATTTTAATCCAAAATCAACTTAAATTAAATTATTATCCAAAATTTCAATTAAAATTTAATTATTTTTCAAAATTTCGAGTCAAAATTAATTATTATCAAAATTTTCAATCAGCAATCAACTAAAATTAATTATTTTCAAATTTTCAATTAACAAACAACTAAAATTAAATTATTTTCAAATTTTTAATTTAAAATTCAATTATTTACCAAGTTTTCAATTTAATAGTATATTATGATACAAGTTCGAGAAAGCGGATTTTATAGAAAGGCGACGTTAGCGCCACGAATCGGAAGCGAGTGCAACAGACACTACGAGTTGGAGCCGAGGGCGAAGCACGAGGCGGAAACGAGTGGTGTCCGTTGCACGAGCTGAAGATGAGTAGCGCAATAAGGTCGCGTTTGTATAAATTCCGCTTTCGAGAACGAGTATCATATACTATTTTATATAATAAATGCATAAAAAGTGCACGAGTGTCAGGAGGTTTCGATCACAGAACCACTAACAAGTATACAAACGTTATTAGGGGGGGTTGGGGGGGCGAAGCCCCTGACGGGGTCCAGGGGCGAAGCCCCGGTGGGGGGTTCGGGGGGCGAAGCCCCCTGACTACAAAAAAAGGGGCTCAAAAGATGAATTATATTACTCAATAAAAATAAATTTACTTACGATTTTAAGAAAGCCATGTTACCAATACCCAAGCGCCTGGAATCTTCGGGGGGCGAAGCCCCCCGCAACGAAATCGCGTTCATAGCAAAATACACTATTATATAATAAATGCATAAAAAGTCAAAATAATGTTTGAAAATTTATTGAAACAAAACAAAAGAAACGAAGAATATTTAATTACAAGAAACTTTAGATCAGATTTTCACTTTTTGGCTCAACTTGTCCACTTTTTAACGAATCTTAAATCAAGAATTGAGTGAAGAAACAAAATTCACTTTCTGATGGAATAAGTGAAGAAAAAAATAAAAGAAAGTACACTTCGTGAATTTTTGGCGAAATTATCCATTTTCGTTAACAAAGCTTTTAACTTAAAAGAAAATATATATGCTTTTTATTTCTGTAACGATTGCTTTAAGCTAAAAACTAAATAACGACTATACTTCACTTTTTCTACAAATGTCAATCGTAAAAAAATCTACTGTTCTTACAAATATATTTAAATGCTTATTGTATATATTAAGAAATACGCTTTTGGAAGAATTAACTTTTCATAAGCATAAAACGAAAAATAAAAGTTTTTTCTTAAAATTAGTTTAAAAAGACTAAATTTTAAGTTATGAGATCTGCGTGTCTCTCAATGGAAACGCCTTAAGCAAAATTATTTATTTGTGAAATTAAACGTTACTTGGCAGTTGCTCAAATTGAGACAAATTTTTCTTTCTTCCAACATATTTGACACAAGTGATGCATTTTCTTTTTCTTGATTCACATTTGACGTTGCAGCATTAAAATTCACGCTGTTTTCAGTGTTTTCTTGAGGTACATTGACAGCAGGCTCGGAAGTTGATAAGACGGAGGGTTGTAGGTTTATAGAACTACATATCTGTTTACATATTTTTTTTCTACTAAAAATTGAATCTTCCACATATCCCATCGCGACTTTATCCGACTTCCACCCTCCGTGGCGTTTTAAAGTCATTAGGTCGGCTCCAGAATCTGCTAATATCGTTGTAGAGGTGCGACGAAAAGTGTGTCCTGTGTACTTTTCAGGTTCCTCAAGTTGTAAATATTCAGCTATTACCTTGGGCATAGCTCCGAGTGTATTTATGCCGATTACTTGTTGGGTGCATTTTCCGTTTCGCATGGATAGGAAGAATCGATCGGAGACACAATTTTGTGGTCGCAATGCTTCATATTTCCTGAAAATTTCGTAAAATTCTCCTTCCACTACAAATTTTCGTGAAACATAAGTCTTTGTTTTTGGAATTGTGATAAGCACCATATTTTCCTGATGTTTGATATCTTGCAACGTTATATTTTTCAATTCCTCCCTTCTGCATGCTCCAGCAATCCCAAGTATTAACGCCACCTGAAATTAAATTATTTTTTACAGTATTAAAATTAAACGAGCAATATTAAACGCGCGCAAGCGCGCCAAATTGAATATTTAATTGTTTGTTATAAAGAAATTAAAGATTAATATTATCAATAATAATTTAAATTTATTAGAATATTATTTCATATTAAATGATAATAATGAAAATTATTATTATACGATATTAAATTATATATAAAATTGAATTATTTTCCAAATTTTCAATTAAATATTCAATTATTTACCAAGTTTTCAATTTAAAATTAAATAAAATTCAAATATTACCCCAAATTTTAATTCAACATCAACTTAAATTAAATTATTATCCAAAATTTCGAGTCAAAATTAATTATTATCAAAATTTTTAATCAGCAATCAACTAAAATTAATTATTTTCAAATTTTCAATCAACAATCAACTAAAATTAAATTATTTTCAAATTTTCAATTTAAAATTCAATTATTTACCAAGTTTTCAATTTAAAATGAAATAAAATTCAATTATTTTTTAAAATTTTTATTCAAAATTAATTATCGAAATTTTCAATTAAAAATGAACTTAAATTAAATTATTATCGAAAATTTCAATTAAAATTCAATTATTACCCGAAATTTTAATCCAAAATCAACTTAAATTAAATTATTATCCAAAATTTCAATTAAAATTTTATTATTTTCCAAAATTTCGAGTCAAAATTAATTATTATCAAAATTTTCAATCAGCAATCAACTAAAATTAATTATTTTCAAATTTTCAATCAACAATCAACTAAAATTAAATTATTTTCAAATTTTCAATTTAAAATTCAATTATTTACCAAGTTTTCAATTGAAAATAAAATAAAATTTAATTATTTTTTAAAATTTCGATTCAAAATTAATTATCGAAACAATGCCAAAAAAACATTGAAAAATTTTAACCAACACAAAATAATGTCAAACAATACGTTTAAAAAAAACAAAAGACCTATAACAAATACTAACTTCAGGTGTGGACAGAATGAACGAAAGATATTCACGATTATTATATGTAATTTATTTTTTTATATGGTTTATTTACTATTTAAAGGTTATGTTGTAAAGTGTTAAAATTTTAAATGTTTTAAAATATCTATTCTTATTATTATATTCGATTTAGAGGTTATGTTTTAATTCCAATTTTTATTTTTACTATTATATAATGCTAGGAATATCTAAGAATACATACCTTTATAGCTAAATATTGATTGTCCGGGGCTTCTCGTAAAAATTGCTCGACTTGATCAGGTTGAAGAGTTTGAGATTTTTTGCTTTCAAATCCTTTGCTGTTTTTTGACAGAAAAGCAGCCAACTGTTTATATTGACTAATATCGACACGACGAATGTTCAAAACGGTACTCCTTATCATAGAATATTTTGACCAAACGCTTGATGGTTTGAATTTTTTTGATAATTCTTCAAAATAAACAAGCATCGTTTCCTCTGATACTGAAGTCGTATTTTTTTCACTTTGCCACGCTGTGAATTGTAGGTAGCATGCTTTATACTGTTCCTTCGATTTTTCAGGCAGTAAATTTTCGGTAATTTGTCTCGCTGCTTCCTTTATGTCTGATGGAGTTGAATTAATACTGTTTTCTTCCATTTTGATAAAATTAAACACTGAGAAATAATCTACTAATAACTGGAGGAACAGATAAAATGGCGTGTAGGACTGAATCAACCATATGTGTTCAAGTTCGCCTTTCCTTCAGCAGATGGCGTATTGATAGCAAGTGACTAGACCGTTTCTGATTGGTTGTTCAAAAGAAAGTGTGCAATAAAAGTATGAAATAAAAGTAAAAAGTGAAATAAAAGTCACTCTGAATATTCTGCGCATGCGCGACTGTATTTATAACATCCTATTTTATAAAACGTGCTTTTTGGTCCATTTTGCATGGATCAAAAGTGGGACTTTTTATGCATGAATTATATAAAATAAAATAAAATTCAATTATTTTATAAAATTTCTATTCAAAATTAATTATCGAAATTTTCTATTAAAAATGAACTTAAATTAAATTATTATCGAAAATTTCAATTCAAATTCAATTATTTCCCAAAATTTCAATTCAAAATCAATGAAAATTCAATTATTTTCAAAATTTTCAATTCAAAATCAAGTAAAATTCAATTATTTTCTAAATTTAAAATCAAATGAAATTAAATTATTTTCTAAAATTTCAATTTAAAATTAATTATCAAAATTTTCAATCAAAAATCAACTAAAAATGAATTATTATAATTAAAAATTACTTGAAGTTCAATTAATTTCAAAAATTTTAAATTTTTGAAAATTTAATTAAATTTAAAAAATGCTTTCCAAAAATTGTTTGATAAATTATTTTTAGTTCTGTAAAATTTAATTATTGTTTGAAAAGTAACAATATCTTTTGAAATTTAATTATTTCTAAAAATTTCAACTTTAACCCTTCGAAAAGTATTATTTAAAAAAAAATTTTTTTATTTAAAAATGTGTAAAATATTTTTGTTAAAATAAAAAAAATCGACTTTTTTTCGGAATATAAATCGACTAAAACGACTTTTTTTGTGTCTTTAAGTTGATCCAAGGCCTGTGTTTTTATAATTAATATTTAATAGGTATTCATTGGCCCCTGGTACCTTAAAAATAAATTTATAAAAATAAATTTTGTCAAATTACTTTCTTGTACGAAATTTCCTGGCGCATCTTTTTTCTCATCATAAAATTTTTTGTATTTGTATACAAATTTTCAATCAATATACAACTTTAAAAAAAAAATTCGTTTCTAAACGTTGTGTACTTCAGCTTCGTAAATTGAATTTTTGAATTTGGAATTTTAAAGAAATTATTTATATTTGAATTAAATAGGTATTTATTATTATTATTATTATTATTATTATTATTATTATTATTATTTTAATATTATTATTTTTATTTTATTTAATATTTTAGTATTTTTTTTAAACACTCGATTACTTAACTATTATCAAATAAATATTTATTTGAGCCAAATAATTTTTATTTGAATTATATACATTGTATTTGAACCAAATAATTTCTGTATTTAAAATAAATACCATTTAATCGATTCAAATAATAATTATTTGATTATTTGAAGACTTTCTTCAGACGAGTTTCTAATTTTCTGAATTATTATTTTTAAAAAAATCCAATTAATCGAATTTCTATCATAGAAAATTGTTAATTAAATAAATTTTTATTTTACAGTTTTTTTATTAATTTCGTCGAATTTAAAATTAAAATAATTATTAGACGTCAATTCAATGACGTTCTTTAAACATTTTATCATTTCTCAATTTTTTTTAATTACTTAGTTTACATTTTCTAAAAAAAAAATATGTTAACTATCTTTAGGTAAAATTTATTTAATAATTGTTTATGAAATAAAATTTTTTTAATTTTGTATTTTCCCGTGTGGAAAAAGCCACGATCTTGCCCTGAAGAGTTCGGGGCCCCCGGCGGGGGCCCATGAGGGCTGATCCATATGGCGAATCCATGAGGGGCAACGTAGGGGCCCCGCATGGATCGCCCTCATGATCGATTAGCAAAATTTTCTAAGTCCAAAATTCAAATATTTTTTCGTCAACAAAAAATGAATGTTTCCAATGATTCAAAACAACGAAAAACGCGTTTTTAATAAAAATATATTTACACTTTTTTTTGAAAATTCACCTGAGATGATTCATGATAATAATCATAAAGCATATAATTAATTATATTTTATAAATTGCATTTGATTGGAAAATATAATAATATCTTAACTTTAACTAAATGATGTTAAGCACTTTTCTTTGTTAGGTATTTTTGAAGTTTAAATAGCATCAAGAAGTTAGCATTCGTTTTGAAGTAGCGTGCGTAGCGTAGTTGGTAAAGCGTTAGACTCATAGTCCGTAGGTCGTAGGTTCGATTCCCCCCATGCGTTAGATTTATTTATTTCTCAGGTTTGCGTTTAATCATTAATTCTATGTATGAATTAATTGATAAATGAAAATATCCGTTAATAGTATGCATAAATTACATATTTTTTATTTTTTTAATTAATTAATTTATTATTACTTTTAATTATATCCGACAGTTAATTAATTAGAACGTTAATTAATAAATTCAATTTGAATAAGAATTTAATTTAAAATTGAATAATTATTAAATAAATATGTTATTTATTCATAACTTAAGCTTATTTATTATTAATTAACTTTTATTATTAATATTATTGATTAAAAAACATTATGGGAAACTTGAGGGCAAGATGAGGGCAAACGTGAGGGCCCGTAGGGGCACCCTCATGGATCGCCCATGCGGGCGCCCTCATCGATGAGCATGTCTTTTCCATGAGGGGCCACCAAGGATCATCCATATGCGCCCCTCATGGCATGAGGGCGATCCATAAGGGCCCCCACTGGGGGCCCATATCACTTTTCCACACGGGTTATATTTATAATAAAAATTTCAGTTTCTGAAAAGGACGACTGTGTCGTTTAAACGTAAAGAATAGTTTTTTTTATTCATTTTAATTCTGTCTCGGAGTGATCGATATATCATCATGTTTATTATTTAATGCTGCTGAGTGATAAATTTTAAATAATATTATTAAATAATTATTATTTGTTGTTTGTATTTTTATTACAAAGAATGATTTAAAAAGAATTTTTATAATTTTTTTAATTTCCCGTGTGGAAAAGTGATGTGGGCCCCCAGTGGGGGCCCTTATGGATCGCCCTCATGCCATGAGGGGCGCATATGGATGATTCATAGGGGCCCCTCATGGAAACGACATGCTCATCGATGAGGGCGCCCGCATGGGCGATCCATGAGGGTGCCCCTACGTGCGCCCTTATGGGCCCTCATCTTGCCCTCAAGTTTGCCATAATGTTTTTTAATCAATAATATTAATAATAAAAGTTAATTAATAATAAATAAGCTTAAGTTATGAATAAATAACATATTTATTTAATAATTATTCAATTTTAAATTAAATTCTTACTCAAATTGAATTTATTAATTAACGTTCTAATTAATTAACTGTCGGATATAATTAAAAGTAATAATAAATTAATTAATTAAAAAATTAAAAAATATGTAATTTATGCATACTATTAACGAATATTTTCATTTTTCAATTAATCCATACATAGAATTAATGATTAAACGCAAACCTGAGAAATAAATAAATCTAACGCATGGGGGGAATCGAACCTACGACCTACGGACTATGAGTCTAACGCTTTACCAACTACGCTACGCACGCTACTTCAAAACGAATGCTAACTTCTTGATGCTATTTAAACTTGAAAAATACCTAACAAAGAAAAGTGCTTAACATCATTTAGTTAAAGTTAAGATATTAAATTATATTTTCCAATCAAATGCAATTTATAAAATATAATTAATTATATTATGCTTTATGATTATTATCATGAATCATCTCAGGTGAATTTTCAAAAAAAGTGTAAATATATTTTTTTTAAAAACGCGTTTTTTGTTGTTCTGAATCATTGGAAACATTCATTTTTTGTTGACGAAAAAATATTTGAATTTTGGACTTAGAAAATTTTGCTAATCGATCATGAGGGCGATCCATGCGGGCCCCTACGATGGCTCCATCTATTTTGCCATAAGTGTGAGTGTTATTTTCAAAAAAGTGTAAATATATTTTTATTAAAAACGCGTTTTTCGTTGTTCTGAATCATTATAAACATTAATTTTTTGGTGATAAAAAAATATTTGATTTTTGGACTTAGAAAATTTTGCTAATCGATCATGAGGGCGATCCATGCGGGACCCCTACGGTGGCCCTCATGGATTCGCCATATGGATCAGCCCTCATGGGCCCCCGCCGGGGGCCCCGAACTCTTGAGGGCAAGATCGTGGCTTTTTCCACACGGGTTGTTATTTTATTTTTAATTTTATTCTTTATTATATAATTTATTTTAATTTTATTTTTCATTAGGTATTTAATATTTAATTTATTATTTTATTATTTGCACGAATCTAATAATTTTATAATTTTTAATAATTAAAATCACGAAAATACGACCGCACAAATGACAATGTCAAAAAAAAAAAAATTGAAAAATTTTAACCAACACAAAATAATGTCAAACAACACATTTAAAAAAAACAAAAGACCTATAACAAATACTAACTTCAGGTGTGGACAGAATGAACGAAAGATATTCACGATTATTAATAGAATTGAAATAAAGGAAATTTTAAGTAGATCTGCATTGTAGGTATACGAAAAAAGACGTATTTTTTAAAAAAATTTTATAAAAAAATGTAAAAATAAAAAGTAAAAAATGTCGCATTTTATTAAAATAAGTCGAAAAAAGTCGTATTTTTGAAAAAAATGTCAAAAAAAGTCGTATAATCCGAGGCCTGACTGAAAAATATTTTATTTGCTTTTTTTTTTGTCACAAATAAAATTTATTTGAATTAAATAAAAATATATTTATCTCAGAGCCTAAAATAACTTTTTATTTGTTTTGAATAAAAAAAAAAATCAGCCCAAGTAAAAAACTAATTGACAAAAAAAAAAATTTATTATCAGAAATAAAATTTTATTTAAAACAAATAAAATTTTATATAGCGCAAATACAGTTTATTAGAAAAAAATAAATATTTATTTGCCCTCCGAGATAAATATAATTTT